TAAGAAGTTGTGGAAGTAGAGAATATATGGTATATATGTAATTGGTATTTTTACCTGAAATAATTCCCCCTCACCCAATATTTTAGTTATTGGGAAAATTCACTTATGTGCCCCACCTTGTCCCGTGGAAAAGTCTAATTGCATGGTATTACTATTAGGTAACCCCTGATTTCCAGCTGGAATGTGTTCAAGAGTTTCATTGTTGACCTGGTTGTTTAGAATAAAAATTGCATTTTTCTACACCAACCCTGTCATTTACCTTCTTAAACAAAAACAAACAAACAAAAAATACAATTACACTCATAAGATACCTCATCAGTAGAATGATCTGCAATTTAAAACCCCCAACTGTCTATCAAATCTAATAATCTTGTCCATGGGGAAAAAAATCACCATTATTATGTGTTCTGTGTTAGACTCAAAAGATATAGCAACCAGCGTACATTTAGTAGCAGCGTACAAAATTATTTCTTCCTCATTTCAGTCTGCTGGGCGGTGAGAGCAAGTCATTTCATGAGAATGTGAAATTGAAGGAGCACTGACTTTGGGGACAGTCTGGACAGGGACACATATGTGGTAAGGGTTGGGTAAGAGTTCAGTGGGCGCTTGTCCTCTCAGGTGGCTGAACAATGTGCATCTAACACACTAAGGCATGAAACCTTGGAGGGTAGAAGGGGAGATGAGGACTATCTGGAGCCATGGTTCATATATAAAGGACGTTGCTTTGTCCTGCCATTAAAATTCATGGGTTACCTGTATTAGTAAAGGTGAAAGAATTAGGTTGACTGAGTCTTCAACTGAAATGTTTTATTTAAAATAAAATAAGTTTATGGCTTAAGATTTTATTGATGTTTACAGAAGCTTAAATCCAAATACTAAACCTTGCTAGGAACATTTTCTTCATATTGATTGAACCACAGAATACCTCACATTCTCATAGTTAGTTAAGATTGTAATCATCTGTGAAAATTGATAGCATGTGTGCCATCCTGAGTTATAACAAATACTACTTTCAAATTGGAAATATGTAGAGGAAAATATGAAAGTGCTATTTTATGACATACAATTGTCCCTCTTCCTGCATCGTTTCCATTTAATCCATCCTACACTGCTCTCAGATTGCTCTTCCAAATGGGTTTCTGTTATATGCTCATTGCTACTTAGTCAGGGTGCTCCATAATATAGTCCCATGTTAACTATTAAATGTTATCTCCCATTAAAGCTGGACAAGACTTCTGTGCTTCCTTATGGTGGATTCCTTTCTGTTCCATGAACTGTATACATCACTGCACTTTCTTATTCTGGGGCTTGGTTGATGCTTGTCTCTTACCTTTGCCCTCCTCCCCTCCATTTTACTTGTTCTTTAGGGCTCTATTCAAGTTTCACAAAACCTACCCATTATCCTTTCATATAACATGTTCTTCCTTCTTTATCTTTGTATCATACATATTGGCATTTAATAATTTTGCATTTATAGTGACTTCTAATTGTTTGTAACATAAACTCTGTTGCCTCAATTCTATTGGAATCTTCTTACTATATATAGTACCCTTTTCAATGCTAGACACTGAATTGTACCTAAATACTTACTTTTAATTTTAATTCTCCCCTTTGATAAATTAAGATAGATTTTTAGGTGTGGTCACTTTGCTCCGAAGCTTCTAAAATTTTCATATCCTGCTAATCTCATAAATGGCAAGGCAACCCGAGTCCAGCTCTACCGTAGTTTTTTAGCACAAATTTTATCAAAAAGATTATGGGTTTAACTAATTTTTAAAAAATAGTTATCCAAAGGTAAAGAAATATTCCCCTCACTAGAACACAATGAATAAATGAATAATTATGGCATCCCCTGAGAAGTTCATTAGTTTAGTTCAACTCCATTTTTGGTTATTGTAGCATTCTGATTTGAATAAGTGAAGAAGCTGTCGATGGAACTCAGGTCAATTTCAGAGATTGCAATGAATATGCTTAGGCGGTCTTACCACTGCTAAATTAGTACATTTGTCTTCTTGGCGATTCTGCTTCCCATACTTCTAATGTATCAGAACTTAAAACAGGGTTCCAGGTGTGTGTACTCATCTCTACTAGAAACTGTAGAGAAGGACTACAAGAAAAGAGAGAAGCTGTAAGAAAGGGAACTCTTAAGTGGCCAGTGTGGGGTTCAGAGAGTGGACTTTTTGTTTAATGAAAGAGCTGAACTTCAGAATTATCACAATGTAGACATTTATATTCAAAATGACTTACCATCCCTCCCAATGATAGCCAACTATCTTCATACCTGACTTTTGTTTTATTTTCATTTCTTTTCATTTTGTTAGCTCTCAAATGTTTCAAGAGAGACTTGAACCAGGTGAAACCTGAAAAATGCCAGATTTGATTTCAGTAATTCATTGACAAAGAAAAGAAGGAGTGTTTTGTGTGTATATAGCTTGTGTGTGCACACATGCATGCACAAGAGTGCAAACAAATGAAAACTATGACAATTCAATTTGTATTACTTGTAACATCTGACAGATTTCTATAATTTTAAATAATGGACTCCGTCAGCTCTGTGTATAATTGGGGATAGTTTTTCTCCAAGTTCAAGTTGAAGTGACAAAATTTTGGGCTTGATATATTTTGATCTTTATAATACTGAGAGCTAACAAAATAAGCAGCTCCTTGCCATTATAATTGTTCAAATAGTAATTGCATTCTTACCTTTGAGATATCAGACTTTTTACCATCTTTGAAGACCCTCCCACCCACTCCTTAATCTCAGATTCTATTTTAAATTATTTTTGAGACACCATCCAGAAACACATTTCCCCGAGTAAGAAGGCAGAATGCTGGTGTTTGCTGGGGGAGAAAACCCTTCATGACCAAAGCCATTGGGGTTCATTTATATATGAGTGGAACTGTATGTGAATGGCCTTATACATGAATGGCCTACATTGGGAAGAATGGCAACAGTTAAATTCCCCCAAAAGGTTAGTCAACTTGAAAGGTATAAAACGACACTCTTATACTAGGGTTGTATTATGAACGACAACGCCTTCAGCATATCTGGCTGGTGGAAGCAGCTGTGTTCCCCCACCACAGCTCCACAAGCAGTGAAGTTAAAGTCAGAGACCCTGGAGTTTGCATGAGGCTGATCCAGCTCTTGCAGCTACACCCCCAGGGTGAATGTAAACTCTTTCTCCAAAAAGAGTGAGAAAGGAAATAATTTAACACTCATCCTCCCAACCCATTCTTATATCTGAGAAAGAATTGATATACATTGAAATCAATGCCCTGTACCCAGTTTCTTTTCTTTCTTTTCTTTATTTGTTAAGCATATCATGGGGTACAAAGTTGACCATCACCACCTGTGTCCAAGATGTGATGGTCAGATCAATACTATCACTAAGCCCATTACTACAAATTGCCATTATTCCCCGTGTTCCACAACCAACCCCTCTCCAACCTCCCTCCTTCTCCACTTCTCCACCCTTGGCAACCCTGGGTATGGTCTCTCCCTCTGCAAGTCCAAAGCACCACTGTGGTCTTTCTTTCCTTCTCTCTCTCTTAGCTCTGACTATGAGTGAGGACATGTGGTATTTTTTCCTCTGTGTCTGGCTTAATTCACTCAACATAATTTTCTCCAAGCTCATCCATGTTTCTGCAAACGGCAGAATTCCCATTTTCTTAAGTCTAAGGTTTTTATGTTGTTTGGGGAGAGAGGTGGCGGTGAGGAGGGAGATATGGAAGGGTGGTCAACAGTTTGCTTTGAAATGGCAAGAAATCATATTCCAGGAAACATGGAGGAGCAGAGTAGGCCTCACTCCTGGTATCTTCCTGGCTCAGTCTCTTCAGATGGGCCAATGAAGTGGGCTCCAAATAATGAGTGTCCTATAGTTGCTTCCACTTCCCTAGAAGTTCTAACCATCCACAGGACCCAGAGTCAAATTACCCCCATCAATCCTAAGCCAGTGTGGATAACGGGTACAAGGTAAGGTTAAATCACAGACAGTATTGGGCACCTGGACACCTGGGAGTTGCGCTGTTAATGGCATAGGCTTTTTCTAGTCATTATATTAACCTTTAAATGATGCAAGTCTGCATATGATATGATTGACTTTTGGGATGCTGCTTCTTGTGTTATGGTGGGGTATAGTATACTACCAGAACAGGCCTGCTTAACCAACAAAAACCCTTAGGGATCTTTCTCCTCTACAGCAGAGAAAGAGTTTTTAGTCCTATCAGGACTCTCAAGACTTCCATAAATGAGGATGGTGAGGAGGTGATAGTGAGAGGAAAACATCTGTGAAAGTAGCAACATGGCTCTAAACTAGAAAATTTACAGTCACTTGGTGGCCAGCTAGAAGTACTGTGGGATACAACACATGTTTTACAAGGCAGACAAGGAGTAGAAGTGTGTAGGAAAAACAGAGAGAGGTTCCTTGGTAAACCAGAATTTGGGTGGACTCTAGGATGTTACTAAAAATAAACCAAAGGAAAGGTGAAAAAAGACATTAGATCAATTGTAGGGCAGGGCTATAACTGGTCTTGGTTTTTTACTAGGATCCGATGGACACTTGGACATACAGAGAGACCTGGAGTACAGAGAGACCTAGACATATACCCCTTTGATGTTTTTGTTCTCCACTGAAAGTGGCTCAAGAAGAAACTTTTTGAAAACAATAAATATTCAGTAAAGATTTGCTAGTTCTCTGTTTACCACATTTTTCTTGCTTCCAAGTGTAACCCTTCCTCCTGGAAGCAGGTTCAATAAGTATGCACAGCCAGGAAAAGGCAATACAGTGTGAGTCAATAGAACAATTGAGGGCAAGAATATCCATCTCCTTAAGCAGATTAACTGAAATAAGATTTATGTTCATATTTGTTTGGAAATAACAAAACTGGAGCAAGCTTTGCAAACACCTTCCTAGATCCTATATTTGTATTTTCATTGACTCTACAGTATATTTAAATAACTGTAGTAGTGAATTTGAAAATAAATACTCAGTGACAATTGACAAAGTCAAAATTCTTTTATTTATACTGAAGTTTAGCAAGTACATTTTTATCAAAGAAGGTGTACCTTAACTTAATATATGGTAGAACAAAGAAACAATACATATAATTTTCTAGTCTCTAACACACTACTGCATTTTATTCCTTAAAACACAAAAAAGCCAAGCTGAAATGAACATAGAAAAGCATCAAATATGGTCAAGTTACTTTAGCCATTAGGATTTAACTCATATTCTTAAACTGGTCAATCTAATGCAAGGACAAAGTTTACATCATTGCTTTTAAAATGTACACATGATCTTTTTTTATTAACATAACATAGATTGAATAGCTGCTTCAGTAAACAAAGCTTTGCTGATAAACACAATTGAAATAACTCCATGTTGAATAGTTTCAGAGTTAAACTGGAATCACAAGCATCTTCATTTATGTAAAGCCAGCGAGGACCTTTCAGGCTGAATAAAACTGTTGTGCCATTGCTAAATAGTAATAGTTACCTCCTTTAAAAAAAAGAAAACAAGTTAGTTCTTCTGAGGAATAATTCTGATATGTGCTTAAAAATACTAAAACTTCTATCTTCAGGAAACTAAAATGATCTGATGTAACAGATTCAACTCAGTGTTGGTAAAATTTAATATTTCTTAACATTTCTATATGTTAATGTATCAGTTTTCAAAGACCCTTCAAGTTTCATTGTACAGCTTCTGTTCTTCTTTCCACAGCACTGAAGACATCGAAGACTGATAAAGACTCTTTATGGACTATGTTATAAGGTATACAGCGATCTACTTTTTCCTTTTGTACATAATGGTACATTTGATGTCCTATGGTTTACCAAAACAGGAGTAAAGGAGTATCTGATTATGATCCAAAGTAATGACAGCTTAGTACATTTAGAATGTCCTCTCCCCAGGGTAACCCTGAGACTGTGTATACTGCATGAAGGGAGACTAGTTCTGTAAATCATTTCAACCATAGTGTTTGGTTAAACTAGTATCAATTTAAATGCTGGTAATCAAGAGTCCATACCATCCTAGAGTTAGATTACATTTTGTTGGTGGGGGTAAAAGTTATAGTTGGAAAAACATTTTTTAAATCTCTTTTTGTCTATCATTGCTCCTTTTCATAGCAATGGCTTATGACATGAATCTCTATCTGGCTGCATCAAAAAAGTTGGGCTTTGGCTACAAAAGAAGCAGAAGGAAAAAAATTGTGGATGAATTGGTACAAATCTGTCACCTGTGTTTGAGAAGCACTTAAAGTCCATATTTGTGAATCAAATATATCATGTTCACATATAAAGGATTATTGGACTGATATGCCTAGTCTAAAATATTAACTCAGCCTGGCCAAAGCTTAGCATTGTCAAGTTTTTAAAACTTGTTCATAATATCTTTAAAATATTTATTCTTTCTGTATAGAAGGTTTCATGGTGAGTCCATGAAATTTTCTGGATAATACCTCAGAACCAAAATTAAAGATGTGGTAAGGTAATAGAAGAATAAAAGAGTTTGGGTCTGTGTCAGTCAGACTAGTTTGAGGGTCAGATGTCTTGACGAGGGCAAACAGACATTTCATTTCCCAAGAATACCATGAAAAGCACCTGAACTTTTCCAAGGATCAGAAGAAAACAAAGCTTGAGTTTTGGAAACTGTCTGGTAATCTGTCACCCCAGAGAATAGCTCAGACTCCTTTGTGGAGTATGAGAATATTTATTCTGATGAAATTGACCAGATAGATGCTCAGTTCTCCAGTCTACCTCATCCTCTGTATACACAGCCTAAATGTCAAAGGAAAGCTCCTCAACATCAAATGGCAGACAGTTATTTTATCAGAATTGAAATTTATACAACATAGCTAAAGCTTAAATCATGCAACACAAATTGTGAACATTACAAACTTGAAAGTAATGGCAAAACAAGTTATGTCCTCTAAAATAAGGTACATAAACACAGCAACGAATCACAAAAGATAATCACCATTTTTTTTTTTTTTTTTTTGGAAAAAAACAGGTTCTGAAAAATCTCCTCCTTTTTTGTGTTTAATTCTTGTTTTTATTAAAAGACAAACATATCTGTCCACACCCTTCATTAAATATGCCTGCTTACAAGGCCTATCAGGAACAGTTTCCACAGCAGCTTGAAAATCCAAAGAAAAACTAGGCTAGCAAGAAGAAGACAGTATTAATATGAATCAATTTTTCTACCCAGAATACAGTAAGTTGATATGTAATAGTAGTAAAATTTTTTCTCCCAATTTTGAGGATAGTATCAAAATAGACTCCTGTGTAGCATGCTGTATAATGTTGACACATATTCTGTAACTGTTTTACATATGCCAGTACTGAATGATCATAAGGAAGGAGTCAATATTGACCAGCTAACTGACACTGATCCTTGGAGCAATCTCAAAGTTTGCCACATTTCAGTTTCAAAATGCATTTCAGCTATAATATGAGTGATTTATCATTTAGTAGTAGCTGTCAAAGTGAACTCCTAGATAAAACAAGAACATCTGGAACCGTAAACAGAGCAGAGCAGTGGTTGAATTTTAATCCAAACCTGGTGTGCTCACTTCATTAGGAACAGGAAACAACTAATTAGTAATTGAATGTTTCATGTTTTTAAGAGGGTTAGTACTTGAGCTCTAAACAAAGATGATGATCTCATATGCATTCTGGATGTAAACAAGATTAAAGATCAGGAAGAGCAATGAACAAAGCCTCTCAAGGGGAATGTTAGGGAGCTTGGGAGCTTACAAGGAGGGACACACACTGACACTCAGGGAGAGTTGACAGAGCTTATTGCTTTAAGATTCCTCAGATAGGTAAAAAGGAGAATTCGATATATACAAATGTAACCATTTTTAAAGTCAGAATGCTAGCCATGCAGTCCTTCCCTTAGCACAGCACTGCCTGACTTGGGCATACCCCATGGTGTGGCCCCCTCCATACAGGAGACAACTCTCTGCTGATCAGAGTTATCTTCAACTCTGAGTTACTTCAGACAGCAGCCACAATTAGCTGCTCCAAACTCAAGTTAAGTGTGAGACTTGCCTTCTGCAGTATATATCGGGAGCTTATACAAAGCAGATTTTGGGAAAAGGCCAGAAAAAAATGAGGATTCCTTATAGTTCAACAACAGTAAGTTAAATATATCTAATTGTAAAAAAGACACTATTTTGTTTTTATGTGACTTAAATTTGAAAATGCTTTAACCTATATTTCAATTTCCCTTATAGTTCAATATATATTGTTTGACCAAATAATGATGACATATTTTTGGATGTTGCATTTTTGGTCACACCTCATTGTTATTAGTTCAGATATTTGATATTATTAAAAGTTTTGATTTGATTTACCTAAGTGCTTCTCCATGATTTATTTCTAATTTGTCATTATTTCATGGAATTGGGCTCAAACAGCTTATATAAGCAGAACTTCTACAGTCGGTGAGGAGCAACAAAAGCCAAATGCCCGCACCTTAGAAGAAATTCCTTTAGAACATGGAATGACTGAATTCTCACATTGATATGAATTAATGTAAAATTTTCAAGTGTGTAGGGTGGGTGGCCATTCCAGCAGAAATTGCATGTACTATCATGGAGAATGGATAAAAACTCAGTTGGCCTTTTGCATAAGATGAGTGTTTTTTTAGGTCAGATCAGAAATAAAATCTAGAGCAGATGTGAAAATAACACAATGGATCAGATTTTGCTTGGTGTAAGGAGTGCACATTAAGAGGGACAATAAATATTTTTGATCACTAGAGTACCATTTAGTATATTGAAATACTGCTCTATTAGATTCTTAGGGGGCATGGAAATAATGGTGACAAGTATCTGCCATCAGCCTGTGGCCAGGTCTCCACTGAGTAAACAGTTAAAAATATTTGAGGCCATTTCCTAGACAATTCAAGCCAAATGACTCACTTGGTTCTAATCACATGAACATGTTAGGCATCTGACCATGTCTAAACCAGAGGGTGAATAGTGAAAAATGTCCCCGATGTGATTGTTCCATCATATCTGCCTTTCTGTCTTTTCTTATGTCTATAGATTTTTCATTATTTGTTTGTTGATAGCTTAATAAAGAAAAAGCAAGATTGCGATTGAGTGAAAATAATAAAGGGGGTACTTTTAGTAGTTTCGATATCTGATTTTATCGTTGCCTTGTTTACAGATAAGGAATGTACTAGTGACGGCCAGCTTTGTACCCCATGCATATTCATAACCAATAAAAAGAAAGAAAGAAAGAAAGAAAGAAAAAGGAATGTGCTAGTAGAAAGGGGTTAAGTGACTTCTTCTACCATCAACAGTTCAAGGAAAAATCAAGGTGTGGTAAAATCTAAAAACTAGAGCTCCCTACGTTCCCTTAGACAACACTACAGGCAAAGTGTTTCTTTTAGAAAGGTGAGCTCCAAAGCAGTGATAATGAATACTGATCACTCGCACAAATGAATTACCTCCTGATATAATTCTTGTTAAATCCCAGGTCAGACAGATATAAAGCTATTTCATAGTAATGACAGCTTAAAGTGGATGTGTCTACATTTTGATTTCTCTTACACCATTTAGAAATAGCATTTTCTCTGTCTTAAAAATTCTTCCACCTACTTACCCCACTAGGATGCTGTGTGGATTAATGTGATAATATTTGTGAAGCACTATGAACTCCTTGAAAGAAAGGGGTTAAAGTAGTGTAAAGTATCACGTTTATTCATCATTATGATTAACCTCTAAAATCTTGTGAAGCCCATTCTCTAGCACATTTTTCCTGTACGTTCAAGGTTCTACTTCTCAGTACTGAACAAATAGTAATTGAAGGTTCCGTATTTTAAGAATTTGAACATGAATTTTAAAGAATTACAACACTAGATAAAGCAGGTAACTGCTACAGCACCCTAATTCGTGCCTATGATCAGTTGGAGTTCCGGCATCAGTGTTCAGGCTGCACAGAAAAAACAATAAGACCTGGTCAAAATTTTATTCCAACAAAAGAATATCCAAAATCTAGTCAATGCACTTCACTGAAACCCACAACGTCACTTTATAGTATTTTGCTGTACTGTATATGTTTAAGATTTGAATAAGTCTGTATGCAATAGACGTATCATTTTACTAGGTTTATCCCTTAATCAAATATTCATGTATATGTCTCATTCTATTAAAAATGAAATTATACAAGGGTGAGCAAAACTGTACATTTACAATAATTTAAAGCTTAATCTTATTCTCTGGGGGTGATATTGACAATATAAAAATGGTGTAAATGTTATTCCCTAACTCTAAAATATGCTTATGAGCCCCTTGTGCATGTTCTACTGCTTTACAACCTAGACCAAAATGCATGACTAGCTTAATAAGCAAGGCATTTAGGAAGGTTTTTTTTTCCTCCACAGTCTAAAACATGAGTAAAGATCCGCACTATTTTCCGTGAGTCAAAATCTTTGTTAATGATTGCAATTTCTTCTCAGGATGAGAATTTCTTTTCTGACAGGGT